CCGAGGAGCTGCTGCGCGAGCACTACGCCGAGCTGCGCGAGCGCCCCTTCTACGGCCGCCTGGTCAAGTACATGAGCTCGGGGCCGGTGGTGGCCATGGTGAGTGCCGGCGGGCGGGCGGGCAGGCAGCCCCCGCCCCAGCCTCCGCACTCACCCCGCGCCCCGCCCCGCCCGCAGGTGTGGCAGGGGCTGGACGTCGTGCGCGCCTCGCGGGCGCTCATCGGGGCCACGGACCCGGCCGACGCCGCGCCCGGCACCATCCGTGGGGACTTCTGCATCGAGATCGGCAAGTAAGGCCGGCCCCGGGGACGTTCCTAGCCCGGTCTCGACTCCCGCAGCTGGGCTGCACGGGCCCTGGCCGCTCTCCCTGCCCCGCCCGCGCTCACGCGCACCTCCCCCGCGCAGGAACGTGATTCACGGCAGTGATTCGGTGGAGAGCGCCCGCCGCGAGATCGCGCTCTGGTTCCGCTCCGAGGAGCTCTTGTGCTGGGAGGACAGCGCCGGGCACTGGCTGTATGAGTAGCTGCGCCGCGGAGGCCGACCTTCGAGGGCGTATGCGCGCCCTCGGAAACAGGCTGTGAATGGTTTAGCATCCTCCAGGCCCTGGAGGTGGTGCACACATCTGGGCTCCACTTCTGGGAGCTCAAAACACCCTTCTTGCGGCAGGGATCACAGCACCCTCAGGACCCGAGGAGGGCGGGCCGGGTGCACGCCCGCCAAGCCCTGGCATGCCTTGGGCCTTCCTCCGGGGTGAGCTACTTAGGAGCCCGAGCTCCACTGTTACTGGCACTCCTGGAAATGCAAGATGCTGACCAGCTTGCTCCAGCGTTTTTTTCATAATAAACTCAAGAAAACCCTTGTGTTCACGTTGGTTTGGACCCAGAGACACACAGGTACGATATTAAGACATGTATTACATACAGAGCAGATACGTGGGTTCGCTTGCAGGGCCAAAGCCTGAGGAGAATCGTCACCCAGCCCCTTCCTCCACTGCACCCACCTCACTAACCCCCGAGTCACTTCACGGCCCTGTGGGAACAGACAAGGGACCTGATGACATCACAGTGGAGAGTGGTAGGGCGGTGGGAAGCCTGCAGCTGCACTGGCTGCCGTGGTGTCCAGCTGGGCTCATGAGATGGCTGCCCAAGATCTGTGCTTCTCTGGCGGGAGGAGGTGGGTGGGCAGCAGGGCCTGGGGCTGCCCTCATCAGTGCCTCTGGGAGCAGGAGCAAGGCCTGGGCCGGGCAGGTGGAGGCAGCGGCGGTCCAGGGCGGCGCCCCTCAGAGCAGGGCATGCACGCCTAGAGCCAGCTGGAGGCGGCTCCTGTCCTTAGCCCTTTGGGCTTCTGCTCTACAGCCCATGCCAGCCGCCCTCAAGGGAGCCAGCCACACCTCTAGCCCTAGGCACTTAGTAGTGTGTCTTGGGAGCTGGGCTTCTTGGAGACCCCGCGGGAGGCAGGCCCTGGAACACACCTTCCGTGTCACCCTGAGGCTTAGCCTGCGTCCTAGGACTGACCCCAGGAGAGGCCAGTGGCCTCCCCTTCTTCCTGAGGCCTGGGCCTGCCCTGACAGCCTGAGAAATTCCACCCTAGGGGCTTCCGGGAGGGGCAGGACTCCAGGGCCTGCTCCTATGAGGTGGGTCTTTTGCCCAGGGACAGTGGCCGTGGGGGGTGGGGGGATGACGGGACAGACACGGGTCAGTGAGGGCCTGTGAGATCTGCCACAAGAAGGATCAGGGGGCTCGAGCGGGGTGAGGGCATCTGCCTGTCTTCTCAAGCAGCTGCCCCCGAGAGCCTGGTTACGTGCTTTCATGCCAGTTTCTGGGGCAGCAAGGATTGGGTGGGGGGACCCAGGGAAGGCTAGCAGCTGGCTGGCTCCCTTAAGGTCGGACCCTTACCCCGAGGGCAGCAGGCAAGTGGGCTCAGGGTGGGAAGACTTGGTGGGGTGAAGTCTCTGCTTCCCACCCTGGGGTCCTGGGAGTGAGTGACAGGGGTGGGGACCACGGGGGGAGCTGGGAGCCACCTGCGGGGCTTTCCCCAGCCCAACGCACCCCAGGATTCTGCCTCGCTCTGGCCCTGAAGTGCCCTGGGGACTTGAGGACTTTGGGCTGGGTGCCAGCCAGGAGCTGCTGGGGAAAGGGTGTCCGAGAGGTGCCCCTCCCTGGTGAGAAGGCCACCTGATTCCCGCTGCCTTCGCAGCCAGACCCACTGCTGCTCCCTGCCAGCTCGTGGAGAGGCCCGGGCTAAGGTGAAAGCTGCGGGCTGAGAGGTGAGAAGAGGGGCGGACAGGCGCCTGGCTGCCTGGGGGCGGGCAGTGGGCAGGCGGGCGGGGTCGTATGTACAGGGTGGCCGCGGGCGGGCGGGGTGGGCACAGCCTCACTCGGGGCTGTAGGACACCTGCCACACGATGATGTGGCTGCGCTCAGCCTTGGACAGCATGGGCTTCACCTGGCTCACGTCCCCTGCGCTCTCCTCTGTCTCGTCGTCCTCCCCGTCGCCTGGAGAGAGAGTGCAGTGACTGTGATGGGGCGGCCCTGCCTGGGAACCCCTGGGGTCCGTGGGCGGCGCCCCTCACCGATGCGGAAGTCGATGTAGCCCTCCCCGCCGCTCAGCACCAGCACGTTCTTCAGCTTCTGGCCCTCGGCGTCTGAGCAGGGGGCAGCCGGCTCGGGGCTCTCTGACGGGCTGTCGAGCACGCTGCCATTGAGCGTGGCCAACACGTTCCCTGTCATTGGGGCACAGGAACTCAGCGGGGCAGCCAGAGCCCCCCACGAAGGCTCCTGAAGGGAGCCACAGCTGCTACCCTGCGGGCAATGGGTCCCAGGCCTCACCTGGCACTGAGACAAAGAACTTGACTGCGTCGCGGTGCCCGTGGAAGCAGAGTTGGGCCTGGGCCATGGAGCAGTAGGGAATGAAGCTGCTGGCTGATTTGTCACTGCTGTCGTCGCCATACACATGGATGACGCCCCCTGGGCGGGCCCCCTCCCCGGACGTGGGGGATGTCTTGTTAGCTGGAGAGAGAGAGAGGCCGAGAGGGGCTGAAGCCATGACTGGGAGAACCGCATTTCCAGCAGGTGAGGGCAGAGGGCAGGAGAGTACCCCCTGGTCCTGCCCCTGGCCTGCAGAGGAGCAAGGCAGCCTCAGCCCCCAGGGCATGGCGGTGGGGGGGGTGCTTCCTTCTGAGAGCAGGAGGCAGGTGCTCTGGACTCACCTCGGAGCCCCAGAAGCTGGCCTCGGTGCAGGACCACGGCTGAGGGAGGCGAGCAGCAGAGCATGGAAGAGAGAGGGCAGAAAGCCGTCACAGGAGGGGCGAGCTGAGGACGGCTGCGCCAGGGCAGCCTGGTGTCCTCCTGAATGTGGCCTGGCAGAGCACAGGCCCGCCCACCCTGGGACCCTGACACTCGCCCTTTAGTGGCAGCCATCACCATCTCTGCAGATGTCTAGGGCTCACTCACTCTCAGTCAGCGGGATGGAGATGACGACCCCGTTGCCGGTGCCCACCCACAGGCGATTGCCCGCGATGAGCAGGGCCGTGATGCGCACGAAGGAGAAGCCCAGCTTGCCTGTGCCTGGGGGGGAAGGGGATGCGGGGTCAGCGTGGCGGAGTGGGGCCCACCCCGCCCACCCCGTCTACTGGCGCAGCCCTCACCCAGCATCTTGCTGACGTAGGGCTCGATGTCGACGTCCTGCAGGTGCTGGTGGGTGTGGGCGTGGTAGAGCCGCAGCGTGGAGTCCAAGCGGATGGACACCCACACCCCGTCGCCAATCCACGCCAGCTGCCGCACCTGGCTCTCCCGCCTCGGGTGGGCGTCAAATGACTTCTGCAGGGTAACGGTAGCCCGTCAACAGGGGTGGGACAGTGGGGGATGCCTGACTCTGCCACAGCCAAGGCTTCACCCTGACATCTACACAGCTCACTGCAGCTCTCCTCTAGTGCCAGCTTTGCTCCTGGGTCAGGTTCCTGGGAGGAGCCCCAGCCACGGGCCCATACCCTTGCCTGCCAGGTGACCAGAGGTGGCGTGTGGGGCCCACACAGGTGTCGGTCTGGTCTGTTTCAGGATGAGGCAGCAGGTGGGCTCCACAGAGACTGGCTCACAGCCCAGCTGCCCCCTGCTGGCCCGTGACCCTCGACAATGAATCACTTTCCTGAGTGCGTTTCCTTTGACCCACAAAGCCCCTGATGTCTATTGGAAGCCCCTTCCTTCCCGGAGCCCCGCCGCCAGCACTCGCCTCGATCTGCATGGTCTTGGGCTGGATGACGTGCACCTTGTTCTTGTAGCCGCACCACACGCGGTCATACACGACGGCCATGCAGCGGATGGAGTGGTGGGGGTGGCCCAGGTCCATCAGGTGATAGTTGCTCAGGTCCCACTGGCCATCTGCAGAGAGCCCACCACACCGGCTCAGGCCTGACCGGGCCCACCTCTGCTCGCCTTGGGGGCGGCCCATGCCCTCCGATGCTGCCCACCCACCTGGTGCCACCAGGCCTCACCTTCGCCTCTATGGAAGATGGCCAGAGTCCCGTCTGCCAGAGCCACCAGCACTCGGCCTTTCACGTGCCTGGAAAGGGAAGGTGGTGAGCCAGGCGAAGGCTGAGCTGCCCTAGACACCCCCTGCCCACACCTGCCGGGCCCTGGCTGGGGACCACGTACACCAGGCTCAGCACCGAGTCCTTCAGCTTGATGGAGTGCAGACATTTCTTCCAGTTGGCCACGGCAGAGTGCACGTAGAGCCTGCAGGAGGAGGCCGGCAGTGGGCAGGGGGCTCGCCTGGCGGACCTCCCCCAGCCCCACCCCTAGGGCCCCATCTACCAGCCATTCTGGGCTCCCAGCCACATGGTGGGTGCGGCACTGCTGCTGGCCCCCGCGGGGGCTCCACTGGGCTCCGGCTCTGGCTGTACCCCACTTGCGTCGGCCTCCGGCCCGTTCTCACTGCAGGAAGGATGGCGGCTTTAGGGCGGCCTGTGGAAGCCTGTCCCCACCCAACTCTGCCCGTCTCCCCTCCTCTCCGTCTCTGCCCCATCCTGAGAGAGCCCACCTGCCAGGCTGGGCACTAGGGGGTGGCGCGGGGGCCGGGTCCATGAAGACGTGCTCTGTGAGGGGCCCGGGCCGCACTGCAGCTGCGTCTGCCTCACTGGGCCCAGAGTCTGGCACCTCAGTGGCCTCTGTGGCCTCCTCCGTGGACTGAGATGGGTTGACCTTGCCATTGGCGACAGCAGCCACCTCCCCTGTGGAAGGGACGGCTGAGCTTGGCTGAGCAGGGGAGGCACGAGGAGGCAGAGAGAAGGTGGCTGCCCAGACTCAGGCCCAAGACTCACCCTGGCCCTTGTCCAGCACTGGGGTGTCCCCTCGGGAGGAGCAGTTGCTGCGTGGCACATTGCAGCGGGTGGCACAGCCCACCAGGGTGATGCCAGCCAGCACGCCGTCCGCACTGGAGTCCTCAGGGTTCATGTCACTGTCCAGGAAGATCTCTCCCGGAGGATAGTCGCTGTCGCTGGCCGCTGCAGGGGGAGTCACGGCTCTGTCACCCCATGCTGAGGAGCCCCCACTGTAGACCTCCCCCAGAGCTCAAGCCTAGGTGGAGGTGTGGGGGAGGAGGCAGGGGCGACTTGCTGATGCCACCCCATCTCCTTCTAACCAGGTGAATGTCACACTGGGGTCTTCTCCTGTGTAGTTAACAAGACTAAGCAGGACAAGATGGCCAGTGAGCTGGACACGCCCCACAGGCTCCCGTGTGTCCACAGCATGTCACCAGAAGGCAGGTGCTGCCCTGCAGGCCTCCTTACATCCTAGCCATCGTCCGAGAGCACAGGCCACTCCTGGGCGGCTCGTGGCGTGGGGCCAGCACTCACCAGGGATGCTGGAGATGCACAGGACGTGGGCGTTGCAGACGGTAAACTGGTCCACGACAGTGCCCGGCTGGTTGGCATCGATGATCACCACTTTGCTGGTGGTCAGGGTGCTGGTGAGGATCCACACCCGGCTGGAGGTGGCGTCCGCCTCAGGGAGCTCCTTGGCCTGCTTCAGAGCACAGGACACCGAGGCTGGTGCCCAAGCACAGGCCACTCCAGCAGCAACACCAGGTCTGGGGCCTCCCTGGGTCTCTCAGAATCTAGCTCAGCCCACAGCCTCGGGGGACACAACTGTCCTCCTGGCAGTCAGAATGGCAAGAACTCAGAACTGCACTTTGTATCTGGATGGCTGGCACACGCGGTCTCGTTTCCACAGAGGAAAACCAGGAGCTGCAAGCAGTTATGTCACTGTCCCCCAAATCAAGCGGGGACATAAAACAAAGCCTTGGACTGGCTGTGTGAAGCATTTTCTGCCACCCTGCTGTGCTCAGCCCCTAGCCCTGCTCCTCGGCAGTTGCTGAAATGTGCTCCTTGCGAAGAGAGAGAAGCACCTGAGGGGCCCGGCCCCTCCGGCTCTCCTGCCTGCTGAGCCCCGGCCCCTCGGAGGCAGCGGGAGGAGCGGAACCAGGCAGCAGCTCAGCCCCGGGCCTGCCCTGGGGAAGCCAAGGGAGCCCCACATGAGCCCAGTCTCTCGGCACTGTCCCCAGCTGTCCTGTGTCTGTCACCCCACCCAGACTCGGGCACAGGGCAGGCCCCAGCTCCGTCTGCCACTCTGACCTTCTTCTTCTCGGGAGACGTGTGGTTGCTCTTGGTCTCTCCTTCCACTTCTCGGTCGCAGGTCAGAGGGTCACGGCCTGGCGCAGCCTTGACTCCCTCCCCAGAGTCGTCATCACTGGGTTTCCAGCCACTCAAGTTGACGCCCGCGGCACACCACAGCTGAGAGGACAGGGCCATGAGCCCACTCCTCTCTGCTGGCCCACCAAGGGCCTCCCTGCGCTCCCCAGACCTGCCTGGACTCAGCTTCTAGGTGGGGTGCTCTCCCCACCTTGCCACCTTTCTGTAGCCCTGACTCCTCCCCTGGGCTCACCTTCATGGTGGGGTCCTTCTCCACCAGAGGGCGGCAGTACACGGGCACAGGCACGTTCTTCATCCGTGTGTCCTCCTGGCCCCCGTTGGGACTCAGCTGCAACCACAAGGCAGAGTGGCTGTGGGCACGAGGCCTAGGGGGGCTCCAGTGCGTGGGGTGGTTCAGCTATCCACTCCTTTGAATCAGGCTGGGGCTGCGGGCGTGGGCATGGGAGCCGGGCTCTGCAGGTGGGGCGTGGCAGCGCTGCAGGGCTTCCCAAGCAGCCCCCCATGTGCAGCGCCAGGCCAGGCTGGCCCCGCCCCGCCCCCCCATGCTCTGCCCCCCAGCCCGCCAGGCCGCGGCAGCAGCACCTGCTTGTACTTGGCCGGCAGGCTCCAGCCGCAGGCCTGCAGCCGCCCGTCGTCGTTGCGCACGTGCTCGCGCACCTGGCGGTACTGCTCGCGCTTCTGCTCCCGCCGGGCAGAGGATGTGCAGTCGCTGGGCGGGAGGAACAACAGGTGACTTCTGTCTGCAGTGACCCGCAGTCCCGCCCCGCAGGGAGCACGCCTGATGCCCCGGAGCTCCCCCTCCTGGACCCAGGCGTGGCTCCTGCCGTCTGATGGAGGATGGCTCCCAGTATTAGGTGTGGAGGCCACATCCGGCACCCACTCTGTCCAGGTGCCTGTTCTGCTGCTGCTGCCAGAGGGCCAGCTGGCAGGGACCCTCAGGGCAGCCTCCCCTCCCCTGGGGCCCTTCCAGGGAAACTTCCATGGGCTTCTGACACAAGGCACACAAGACCTCGTTTCTACCCTGGAGCCAAATTCCTGGTTTCAAAACTAAGGAAAACAAAATTCTAAAGAGAAACTTATTCCCCAGAAAGAAATTCAACCCCGCGGGAGAACCTCCTGTCAACTCCGAGAGTCCCTGTGCAGCAGAGGAGTGCGGGACCAGCCTGGGGTGAGCCTGAAACAGCTGCCCAGTGAGATCCTCAAGGGCAGGGGCCGGGATCACTGAGAGCTGGGGCCAAGAAAACAGACTGCAGGGGAGTGCGGCCTCTGCAGAGGGACATCCAATGTTCCCACTAGGGGGTGGAGGGCCACACAGTGTGGGCATGGAGAGATCATGACTTCTGATGCCTCAGGCAGCAACCCTCCCACCATGGACCCCATCCCCCAGCACAGCCCCCAAAGCAGTGACGAGGAAGGTCCTGCTGCAGAGCCTGGAGGGGAGCAGCCCTGGGACACATGTCCCCCTGTGCAGGCCAGGGAAGCCGTGGGACACTCACTCCTCGGGGAAGAACTCCAGGGGCCGGCTGCCGGCAGAGATCTGGCACATGGCATGGCTGCGGCGCTGGCTGAAGCCGGCCGTGGTGGGCGACTTGTAATGGATGTTCACTGAGGGGTAGGACCGCTTGGCAGGAGGGGGGCTGGAGGAGGAGCTGAAGAGGCGGCTGAAGCTACCAGTGGAGGCACAAGAGGTTAGGGACGGCCGAGGGGAGCCCTCCCTGTGTCCCCAAGTGGCCACTGCCCACACCCCTCAGGTGCCCCAACTCACAACTGCCAGATGGTGGACTTCTTCTTCTCCTGGACAGATGGGTGCTCTCGGGATGCTCTATAGGGGACGGGCAAGGGAAGGACCCCGCTCGCCCACTACCCAGCCTGACTTGGCCAGCTGGTCTGACCATGCCCACGACAGCCTGGCCCCGCCTACTGCCCAGTCTGACCACGCCCCACTCAGGCTGGGCCCCTTCTCACCTCCCTTGCCTGGGACTTTCCCTGGGGACAGAGCTTCAGAGAAGAGGGCCTCCTGGGAGGGTCACTCAGAACTTCCCAGAGGGGCCCCCCACACAGGCCCCAGTGTGCCCCAGCCCCGCTCCAGCCCAGTGGGCATCTCCCCTTGCCAGGCCAGTGCTGCACCAGAGGCCCAGCTCTCCTGGGCCCCCGCAGGCTCCCAGCACGGTTCCAATCCTCCCAGAAGGGAGGGAAGTGGGATCGAGGCCAGCTTCAATTTCATCGCCAAGACCTTTTATAACGACCACAGCTCAAGCTGGGAGCGCATCTTTGGGACCCTGTGGGCAGCCTCGGGGACACACCTGATCATTTCGGTCCACCGCACGGCCTCCTGCAGCTCCATCAACCGCTCCTTGTACTGGTTGCGCTCCATGAGCACGCGAGCCATCTCTACCCGCGTGAAGCGGCGGCGCTGCGCCATGGGGATCTTGTCCTGCAGGGAGAGGCACAGCTGTTCAGCTAGTGTGGGGCTGGCCAGCAGGTCACGCGGCGCCCTTGGAGGCCAGGTCACACCTCACTTCCTCTGGGGCCAGCCTCCAGGTGTGGGTGAATGAGATGTGGAATTCCCACAGATTCTCAGGCACACTCAGTGGGGAGGATGTGGGCAGGAGACAGGAGATGTCGGAGGGCCCTGCCCCTGCAGGGCCACCTTCTCTCCAGAAGGTCACGTGATACACTTGAGGGGTGCAACATGGTGACTTCTCCTACAAGCCCCTGGACACCTTGGCAATCCCAAATGCCTGCAGTCAACGTTAACAGCGAGACTGGTACAAGGTAGAACGGCAGAAGAGAGGTTCTAGGGAAGGTCCAGGGAGCAGGACCTGGGGTCGCTACGTCCGAGCTAGACGCTGAAGGTTTTGGTGAATCTGCTTGGGGTCTGCCGCTTGCAAGTTCTGTGGCAGGACCAAGTCTACTCTGAGCAGCTCTGCCCCGGGCTGCCACAGGCCAGCGCAGGAGGCCCAGCAGGGAGCTGCCAGGCAGGGGAGGGCGTGCCAAGGTGGGCCCCACCCCCGGCACAGTTCACAGGTGCACATGAGCCCCAGGCCCCAGAGGAGGATGCCAAGCGCCACATGGGAGGGGCCCTGGGGAGCTCCACAATTCACCTGCAGCTGGGTTTCCCTCTAGGTGTGGGGTGGAGTGATGTGGAGATGAAGGCTGCACAGGATGGGCAAAAGGAACAGCTACTGTTTCCCAAGCGCCTGCTATGTGACCCAACATGCGCGTCACACGACCACCAAAATAACGGAGCTAATGAGGGGTGACGTCAGTGTCCACAGTTCACCTCAGGTGGCAGACCTGTGCCTGCCCTCTCCTTGGGGAAGGCGGCCTAGTTGCTGGGCCCAGGCCTGTCTTCTGGAGAGGAGGGAGAAGGGGTCAGCGGTGGGAAGGGCAAAGGCCATACAAAGCCTCCCCCACAGCCGCTCCTAGGAACAAGCAGTTAGGAACCCCCAGGGAGCTGAGGGAAGACGGCTTTCCTCAGATCGTTCCATGCACCTCAGGGGGCTGTGGGGGCAGATGAAGGGTTTGAGGGCCTCACAGTGTCTCAGGTACTCAGGCTGTTCTGTCTGGGGGACGTCTGGGGGACGGCAGTGACGGACAGTTTCCCAGCCTTGCTCTGCAAGTTGGAGTGTGTGGGGCAGAGGCTGGGCCGCACACGCAGGGAGACCCTGCTTGTAACTGTGAAAACACGTCCACTAGGACCTGGGCTGAGAAGCAGCCTCCTGCTGAGAGGGGGCTGGTTCTGACTTCACAAAGTCAAGGTAGGGGTGATATGGGTGTGACCCTCACACAGGTGGGGTGAGGAGGGCCCAGAGACCCACAACGAGTGCATTCCCAGGGAGCCCGCCCCGTGCTGCCCACCCCCCAAGCCCCGCATGTTAATAGTGGAATATACCAATTCTGTACAGAGATAGCTGCTTACATCCTCCACCTCTTCTTTGGGTTCACGGCGGGCAACGATGGCCTCTGACTTCACTCTGCAAGATGAGGAAAGAAGAGGGGCAGGAGTGAGGGCCCCTCTGGGCGCCGGCCCACAGGCTGTGTCCCGCCTCTTGGCTGGGCTCAGGGCTCTCCCCTCAGGTTCTAGGCTCTGAGCATTCCTGCCAGGGCCTTGGGAGGGTGGCCCCACACCCCTACTCGCATGTGCCCTGAAGCCCAGACATCTGTCCTGGCTACTCCATCCAACAACAGGACCTGATGCGAAGGTAGAACAAGCTGCTCCAGGCAAACCCAGAGGCAGGTCTGGCTCCCACCCCCACAAAGCCGCACAAGTGCCCCCTGCCTCGGGCCCTCCACTCATACCTCCCCTTCCCGTCTGGAGCCACAGGCACCACTCGGAGAGAGATCAGGCGGGAAAAGAAAGGCTATGGGGAACTGCAAAGTGCTGGGCCGGAGAACCCAGGGGTCCCAACGCAGCTGCACATCAGGACCTTGGCCCATCAGGGGCTGGGGAGCAGAGGGGAGCCAGAGGCCCTCGATCCTCCCCTCTCTTCTCCTGAATGAACATAATGGTGTGAGAGCAGCAGGAAGGACACCCAAGACAGGACCGTCATGACTCGTTTTCGATTCCGAGGATGGCAGAGACGAGAGGGGTAGGGTGAGCAGACAACACAGTAGCTGGGTCTCGGTAGTCAAATATGAGATGGAACTGAGAGAGGAGAGGGAGGCTGAGCAGTGAGCACCCAGTGTGAGCCACCGTGGGAAGGAATGACCTCGGTGGGGCAGCTAGCCTGAGAACAGATGCCAGAGAAACGTGAAGAGGAGAGGCCTTCCCGGGGCCTGACCCTGCCCTCCGCACCGGACCGGCGGCCCCGCCCCTCTGGGAGCCCCGCCCTCCGCACCTGCGGCCCGGCCACTCTGGGAGCCCCTCCCCCAGTCTCCGCTCACCTCCTCAACTCCTCCTCCAGGTCCTTGACGCGGCTCTCCAGCCTGAGTTTGGCCTGCCTGGCAGCTTCCAAGTCCCCCTTCAGCACCTCCTGCTCCCCAGACAGCTGGTCCACCTTGGCGATGAGGTCGTTCTTCACCACGTTCAGCGCGTTTCTTTGAAAAGGTAGAAAGACGTGACTCTGCGTGAGCCAATGTGTACATCATGTGATGGGGTCTCAAAGGGGTCTGCCTACACTGGTTTATCCTTCCAGATGTGGTGAAAGGCGGGGACCACCCTATCCTCTCCCCAGGAGGGGCGAGCGGGGCTGTGTGGGTCCAGGCCCTCCCCGGGGGCCACCCTTGGGCCTGGGCTGACAGGCTAAACAGGGAGGCCCTGGCCCTGGTGGAGGGCTATTCCAGCTGGAGAAGAGCGTTCTTACTTGGTTTCTAGAAGCTGAGAGTTCTCCAGCAGCAGATTCCCCACTTCCTTGCCCATTCCTAAAACAAAAGGTATGGAGGTATTACCTGTGCTCGGTGAAGCCAGACAGTGATGCTACCACACCTGCCTCAGATGACAAACATCCCTGGGGGGTGGGCCCACACCTCGGAGGACTGATGCCAGGGATAAGGACCAGAGGCCCAATCTGCAGGACAGGCTGCAAAGAGATGCCGCGTAGACCCTGGGGAGAGGCCTCTGCTGGTCTTCAGGTGGGCTCTCTACTCAGCAATGCAGTCAGGGTGGACTTGCTGTGTGTGAGCCCCAAGGGGGTCCCAGAGTGGCCTCTGGAGGGCACTGGGCAGGTCTCCACTGCCTTGATGGACACAGCAGCCCTGGGCTTATATTCTGGACCTCAGGGCTGGGTTCTCACAGCTCTCTATCGACATGAAGCCCGGATGGTACCAGCCTGAGCTGACCCTGGCGGCCTCTAGGAAGCCACCTCAATCTCTGCCTCCACCGCAGCTTCACCCCTCTTCCCCCAGCCTTGTGGTTTCCAGGTCCACCATAAAGCAGACCCCTCTCAGAGCTGCCCCCAGGAGAATGAAGGCTGGAGCTGCGGTGATGGGGACAGAGAAGACAGCACAGGATGCAGAGAGCCCCTGGCCAAGGAGATGGAATGGCCCCACAGCCGGCACGGCCCTCCACCGGGGCTAGAAGCAGGACTGCTGGGACCTGGCCCGAGGTGGTGGGGTCAGCAGGAGGCAGAGGAAGGAGTGGAAGTGAGGAGGACAGCACTCCCTGGGGCCGGCTCCTCTGCAACCAGGCCCCAAAGAGGACCCCACCGACTCAGCTCTCTGCAGGCATGTCACAAAACCCCCAAAAGTATTGAATCTAATCCTTTAGGACAGCCCCGAAAACCCAAGGTCTGCTCCTCCTATTCACTTCCCTCCACGGTTTAACCATCATGAGACAAGATACACGTGCACATAGTATGTGCAGCTTAGGGTTCTGCCTGCTGTCTCCGTTCTCACCACCTGGCCGCACACGGGGCCTGCCTCCCTCTCAGACTGGATGCAGCAGGCACCGGGCTCAGCCCAGACAGGCTCAGGGGGCGCACCCAGGGGCTGGGCCTGCCCCGAGCTTATGGGGGCTCAGAGACGCTGGGGCTGTCCCTCTGCAGCCCGTCAAAGGTCTGCTCTGAGGGAGGCAGCTGGGGAGTCGGGTGCCAGCTCACCACGCCTACTGGAGGCCCCTACCCCCACCCTGAAAGCTAGGAACTCAGAGAGCCTGGGGCCCCTGTTGACCCCACCATGCAGAACAAAGCAAACAGCTCATGAAGCATGAGAAGGTGTCAGGTAGACAGAGGGAGCCAGAAACGGGAACAGAGACTGAGACAGGGCCTCGGCCTTACCAAAAAAATCATCGCGCACTATGGAGCCGTCCCAGTCCCACGGGAGACGGGCACCAGGGCGGGAGCAAGGAGCAGGAGAGAGGGGGGAGAGAAAAGAAGCGCATTAAGCCCTGTGAACAGCAGGCGGGGGGCACTTTAGGGCTACGTCTCGCTGGGTTAGGGGTGGGCGCAGGAGCAGGCGGGAGACGGGACAAGCCAGCTACTCCTTCTGGAAAGTTTATCCTTGGAATTGCACAGAAGAGCGCCAGGCCACGAGCACCTGGGAGGGGAGGTGGGGGGTCAGGGCGAGGCAGCTGACACCTGCCCAATCCTCGGTTGGGAGTGGTGGGCGTCAAGGATGGAAGAAGTCTCTGCAAATGAGGGAAGCTGAGCCCAGGGACTCGTATGCCTCAGCACACTGGGGAGGCCACCCTCAGATGGGTGGGGGCCTCAGAGCCTCCTGCTGCAAAGCAAGAAAGCAAGAGCTGGGTCCATCTGCCACGTGGGGAGAGGACGCCTGAGCTGTGCTTGGTGGCAGCCTCACAGGACCCCTGACTTCTGGGGTGTACTCGACAGGGGGAGATCCCACAGAAGTGGGCCTGCAGTCCTTGTCCAGTTAACTGTCCTATGCTTCTAACGGCTCCGTAGAACCTTAAGAAATGGCCCTGGGGGATCCTCAGCCTTCGAGAAGACAGAGTCAAGGGCACAGCAGTTCTCCCTCAGGTGTCAAGGTCGCCGTCAGGGGCTAGTGGAGCAAACCACATAAGATTCTGAGCAGCAGGAGGCTGGTGAGCGAAAGCACGTGTGCCTTAGTGCCGGGATGGAGCTGGGAGGGGACGGCTGCACAGCCAGCAGGGACTGACAGCAGCAGGGAGTGTCCCAAGGTGCCACCCCACTTGGCCTGGACTCTGCCATGGGGTAGCAGGGGCCACAAACAGACAGACAGGACATACACACCTGAGAACTCCCCTGGGGCCGTGTCCAGTGAAGCACAGAGAGACAGGGGAAAGGAAGTGACAAAGGTCAATTGATGACTGGAACCAACAAAATAAAGAAATTCTCATTAAAGAAAAAGCAACAATGATCAGCCATTTCCACGTTGAAAAGCATGAAGAATACAGCAGACATCCTCAGGCCTGTGGATGAAAAATCCCCCTGGGGGCAGACACCCTGAAGAAAAAGGGAGGCCAGAGCAGAATGGCCCTTAGTCCCCCCAGGGCCCAGAGTGCCACGTTCCACAGCCGTGTGGGCACTTCGCATTCTTGCTCAGTTCTGCCAGGAATCTAAAGCCTGCTCACCCTTTGTTCCCATCACCCACCCATCAGGAGGCCCAGCCCTCCCCTCTGCAGACCTGATGGTTAAGGCCTGGAAAGATGAGTGTGCGTGTGTGTGGTTATTTGTGGGGTGCTAGGGGTGTCCAGCCTCAAAGGTGCCCCCAGAGTGAGCGATCTCTGACTGAGGCGCAGACATGGACCTGACCTCGCAGGGTCCCCTGGCCAGCCCAGGTCTTATGGGAAGGGCATGACCTCAGGGAAAGGGCGGCTGGAAGACGAGAAGGGAGCAAGGGCCCTACTGTGCAGGGGAGGAAAACACTGAGTCAGAACGCAGAGGCGGGGGCAGGGCCTGTGGGGCTGGCACGTGCTGTCCTCTTGTGGGTCCAAACCACTCTCTGCCGCACAGCTGAAGATTCGATGAGGCAGTACTGTTCTACTTGGTCATTTCATGCAGAAACAGTCACTTGACTTAAACAACAAAATACACAAATTTGTTGTAGGAATTCAAATATTAAGAAGTGCACCATTCCATGTGTATGAATGCATTTTTTATGTGAACTTACTGCATTTTTAAAAAATTTCAGGTGTATATCATTATATTTCAGCTTCTTTATAGACTGCATCATGCCTTTTTTCATCTTAAAAAAAGTTTCTTGGTTGTAAGTGACGCTGTGTATAATATCATGGCCCAAAATAAAACCTTCTGAAAGTTCAAAAACAACAAAAAAAGTGCACCAACTCAAAAGTGGACGTGCCCTCTCTCCTCTCTACTTCCCAGGACAGCCACTGTTCACATTTGATATTCTTCTTCTCAGAACTCTTTCTAGATAAACATCAGTTTTTAAGAAACAAAATCATGACCACACAACCCATCCTCTTGGGCAACTTGCTTTGTTCTACCTAACACTGTATCACGGGGCTCCTTCCACATCAAAGATCCACGATCATCCTGAATGCTTTGTCCTATTTCTGTATAGGAATGTCCTATCATTTACTATGGCATTCATTCCTTTAATAGATATTTAGGGCATTTATGGTTTTGCGTGACCACCCAGCATACTACAATGCACAACCTCATGTGTGCGCAGTGTGGCCCTGTTTAAGAACTTGTGGGGCCAGGGCCGGCCCCGTGGCTTGGCGGTTAAGTGCGCGCGCTCTGATGCTGGCGGCCCGGGTTCGGATCCCGGGGGCGCCCCGAGGCACCGCTTCTCCGTCCAACGCGAGGCCGAGTCCCACGTACAGCAACTGGAAGGATGTGAACCTATGACGTACAGCTATCTACTGGGGCTTTGGGGGGAAAAGCTGAATAAAAAAAATCTTTAAAAAAAAAAAAAAAAAAAAAGAACTTGTGGGGCCAGCCTGGTGGCGTAGTGGTTAGGTTTGCGTGCTCTGCTTTGGCAGCCCAGGGTTCGTGGGTTCGGATCCCAGGTGCGGACCTATGCACTGCTTATCAAGCCATGCTGTGGCAGCATCCCATATAGGAAATAGAGGAGGATGGGCACGGATGTTAGCTCAGGGCTGATCTTCCTCAGCAAAAAGAGGAGGATTGGCAACAGATGTTAGCTCGGGGCCAATCTTCCTCAAAAAAAAAAAAAAGAAAGAGAGAAAAAGAACTTGTGGCCCTGCTTGCTGTAAGAGTCCAGCTGCTGCCCCACACCGTCAGTGGTGCTCCACTGGCTGCGCAAGTCACCTCCCACTGGTGGAGTGCAATGTGCCGCTTCATTTTCGTCAATCTTTTTAGGACAAAGAGTTATCTCTATTTTCTCTTAATTTTCATTTCTGTATTATTCCTAAAGATGAACATCTTTTTGTATGTTTGTTGGTATCTTCTGTGAATTTCTTATTTTGTTCTCTGTCCATTTTCTTTTTTCTTTTTTTTTCCTCCCCAAAGCCCCAGTACATAGTTGTGTATCACAGTTGTAGAGTTGTAGCTCTTCTGTGTGGGATGCCGCCTCAGCATGGCTTGATGAGAGGTGAGTAGGTCCATGTCCAGGATCCAAACTGGCGAACCCTGGGCCGCTGAAGCGGAATGTGCGAACTTAACCACATACACCACTGGGCCAGTCCCATGTCCATTTTCTATTGTACTTGACTTCTTTTAATTTTAATGATGGATATCATATATATATACAGTCACGTGCTGCATAACGATGTTTCAGTCAATGACAGACCACATATACAATGGTGGTCCCTAAGATTAGCACCATATAGCCTAGATATGTAGTAGGCTATACCATCTAGATTTGTGTAAGTACACTCTATGATGTTCGCACAAGGATGAAATCACCTAATGATGCATTTCTCAAACATATCCCCGTCATTAAGCAATGCATGACTGTATTCTTAATTTTCATGTAGCCACACCTCTCAACATTTTCCTCTATGGCTATGGCCATGCAGAGAGGCCCAGATTATGAACATACCCTCCAATATTCTCTTCCAGTTCTAGTATCCTTGATCCACCTAGAAATTACTTTTGTGTATGGTGTGAGGTTGTGCTCAAGCTTCATTTTTTCCCAAGAGGCTAGTCAACTAATCTTGTCCATATATTGAATAATCCACCTATTTTCCAATGATTGAAATGCTGCATTTGTCATATATGAATTCCCACATGCCTCCAGGTCTGTCCTCAGCTCTTCACACTGTGAACTCAGAGTCACTGGTTTACTGCTGTCCCAGAGCTGCCTGCTTCTATCATTGTAGCTTTACGAAATGCTTTGATACTTGGAATGGCAATCCTGCAACCTTGTTCCTTCTCAAAAATTTCTGGGCTATTCTCACACATTTACTCTTCTGGATGAACTTCAGAATCCATTCATAAAGTTCCAGAAAAAAACCAAGTCTGTGGGTCTTTTTACATGCACTGAATGAATTTACGTATGAACGATGGGCTGATCTGTGATGTCACCTGACAGACAGCCTGACAGAGCTCAGTCTTCAAATCCAGGAAGGTGTTGTATTTCTCTATTTACTCAGGCTTTTATCTTCTTCAGTTTTCTAATTCTCTTTACATAGGTTTGTCTATTTATCAAGGTTATTTCTAGACATTTTCTAGGTCTGGTTACCATGTGGTGGGACCTGCTGCTTGACTCTGGCACAGCAGAGAAGAATGAAAGTCGGACCAGCCTGTGCAGAACTTCAGGTTCTAACTAAGCGATGCAGAGCAAGTTGCTGAGCTTCTCTGAGCTTCAGTCTCCTCATTTGTGAAAGGGAGACATAATCTCCTTAGTGCAGGCTCGTTGTGTAATTCCCTGGGGGAGTACCCGGCACCTGCTAAGCAGTCAACAAGTATTAATTCCCTTACTCCTCAATTGTGTCAATTCTTTTTTTTTTTTTTTTAAAGATTTATTTATTTATTTTCCCCCCAAAGCCCCAGTAGATAGTTGTCTGTCATAGCTGCATATCCTTCTAGTTGCTGTATGTGGGACGCGGCCTCAGCATGGCCAGAGAAGCGGTGCGTCGGTGCGCGCCCGGGATAAGAACCCAGGCCGCCAGCAGCGGAGCGCGCGCGCTCAACCGCTAAGCCACGGGGCCGGCCCCTCAATTGTGTCAATTCTAAGACACATATTTTTCCCACCTTAGCTCTTCTGAAATTGTACATGGGTCGTACAATCAATGGCATGTTTAGTTTGATTTGCAGCAATTTTTTTTCTTTCTTGGTGATTTCTAAAATAATGCTGTATCTTACAATGGGTGGTGGTGTGTGTGACGAAATATAATAATCAATGCCTATCTAGGTCCTTCTCCTTCCTTCTCTGCTAAGGGAATTCACAGTCTAATGCCGAGAGACACATGGAACAGCCAATGGAGGCACTTAGAGCTTGGGGGTGCCGGCATCAACGTGCCGACCACCTTAAGACACGTTCATCTCATAGCTTAGAAAGAGCATCAACGTGTTTCTGAAATTACAGGATCATCCCACTGTGAAAACTGTCATAAAGCCAGGACTGACAGAGCCACCCCCTGCCCCAGTCTCTTTCCCGCTGAGCAGCCACACAAGGAGCTTAGGGTCACGTGCTCACTCCTCCAACAGACGTCTTCAGAAACACGGTGATGGGGGACCAGGAGTCCTGTCACTGACACTTGCTCTAGCTGAGCCAGACTCCGGGGACGGGCCCTGGGACCCAGCGCATTCTCCCACCCTGTCAGACAGACAGCAGGCTCCTCTGCTCCATCTGCAGATGGCAGGAGCACTTGACCCCTCCTCAACTCCACAGGGCTGCCGACCTTCACATGCCCATTGTGCTTCAGGCTCTGGAAAGGCACCAAAATGTCCCTCACTCCCAAGAGCGACGGCTCGATCCAACCAGAACTAAGTGGTGCCCAACATGGCCACCATCCTGCCAAGTATTGCAGCGGAGTACCGAGTGCACAGTGACTCACACTCTGTCACCACAGGAGAAAAGGGATGATTTCCAGTTCCTCAGAACAAAGACCCATCAGATGCCCTGGGTAGGCCTTCTCATGAAAAGATCACGTCAGGCACCCCCTGTTCTAGTGAACTGACCCCAGGAGATTCATCAGACGTCGTTTCCCTTCCAGGATCCCCGCAACATCTGACTGAGAGTTAGCAACCCCATCTCTAATTACTGATTCAGTCAATGTGGGCTCCAGGTAAAACTCACTAATGTGCACTCTCTAGTTCTCTGCTTTTTCCTCTCATCACTATTTATGGAGACTCTGTTATGACACTGACATTCAGAGCGATGTCACCTGAATAAGGAGTCAACAAAGACCACAGGAGGCCACGTGCTAGTCTGACAGCCCCGAGGGCGTTGAGGCAGGAAGGAGGGGACGGTCACATGGAGAGAGCAGGCCTACCACCAGTGCTGCACCAGCGGGAGCTGCAGCAGGAGGACAGCTCCATGCCTGGGACCACAAGGTACGGCAGGAGACCCCGGCCAACAGGACGGACTGACGGATGCCACCCAGAGTCACCTGGTAGCAAGGAGGCCACTCAGCTCTGGTCATCCTGTAGAACCATGTGAGGAAACCAAGTGCAGCCAGGAGCATCAGTCACAACAGCCAGAAGCGGAGATGGCCAGATGTCCATGCGTGGCTGAATGCAGACATGAAGTGTGGTCTGTCTAGACAATGGAGCACACTTCAGCCATAGAAAGGAATGAAATTCTGACACATACTGCCACACGGATGCAACTCGAAGGCATTATGCTAAATGAGAGAGGCCAGATGGAAAAGGCCCACTGATACGAAATGTCCACAAGAGGCAAATGTACAGACAGGAGGGAGAACAGTGGGTGCCAGGGGCTGGGGGAGGGGACGGAGAGTGACTGCTAACAGGTACAGGTTTCCTTTTGGGGGTGAAATGTTCTAAAATTATGTGGTAATGATTGCACAGCTCTGAACAGGCTCAACGCCATTGAATTGTACACTTTAAGTGGGTGAATTGTATGCTGTGAAATTCCATCTCAGTAAAGCTGTTAAGAAAAAGCAGAGTGGGCGTCAAAGTCAGGGCTGCCACTCTGGGTTGGACCTGGGTTCAAGTCCTACCTCTCCTGCTTCATCTCACCCTCCCTGACCTGTTTCTTCATCTATAACATGGGGACACTAGCAGTATGATGGATTAACGTGACATAAAATGTTGGCATTACTCCTCCTGATGAGCATGCTGAGTGTTAGAATCTTGTCACATGACAAGACTGCAGAAAGGTACAAAGTGCAGTGGGTTCCCGCCCTGCCCCCCCTCTGCTACTGTCTCCTACTCCTTGCTGGTGGACGGTCCCTGAATGCACCTCAGACTTCCTCCAGCGCTCCTGGCCAGGAGCAGGAATGCTAAGCAGGGCCCACAGACCCCGACATGGAAATGCAAAATGTTGAAAGCCCGTGTGTTTTTCTAGGGAGAAGACTTTTACATTTCTATCAAATTCTCAAAAGCTCAAGAGCGCATTGCGACCTGCTGTGTAAATTCTCCAGCACACAGGAGGCCCTCTCACCCACCAGGTGCTCTCCTAGGACACGCTGTCCAGTGCCCTCCCCTGCCAGGCCCTGCACAGCTTCCGAGGTCGGCCCTGGCAGAAAGGCGCTCCTTCGGAGCTCATACAATGGGCACAACTGCCCATTACAGCCTCAAGCCCAGCGCCTTCAAACTACTGATGTGTGCTTCCCAGGGCCACACCCAGCCCAGCGGCTTCCACTGTCTGAAAGGACAGCGGCCCGGCCCCTGCTGGCCCCTGCTGGTGTGATAGCAACCCAGAGGAAGCACCATCAGGAGAGCAACGTGCAGCCGGTCCTCAAGAGTCCACACCTTTACCTTGGGCTCCCCACATCTAGACATCTGTCCCAAAGAAACCACCAGAGATGTGGGCAAAGACTTCCACCCACAGGTATCTATGACAGCAGGATTCAAACCCCAGGAATTGGAACTAAGAGAGACCTGACTGAGCACTCTCCAGCCACACGAAGGAAATGAAGTTAAAACGTGTAGAGGAATGTTGGTGATTCAGGGAAATGTGAACATCACCATAGAGAAAAGGACAGACGTGACCTGACCCCTCGTCCCCTGTACACATGTGTGTGCTGTGGTGCCTGCAGGGTGTCACCAGGACAGGAAAAGACTCATCACGGCATGGGGGGCTCCTTTGGTCTTTACTCTTCTTGGCAATTTCTAATATTATCTGAATATTATATAAGCATGTGTCATTTTTCCAAAAATAAGAAAATACCTGAAAATAGAATAGGTATAGTATTATCTAAACTATGTAAAGAAGAGCAGAAGGATGTCAAAATACTAAAACTGATTGCCCTTAGATTTTTTCTGAGTTATTAATAGTTTCTGTATATTTTTAAACATAGTTTTTACAACACTTATGAGAAAACTTCCATTAAACATACATACAGCTGAGAGTGGGCAACCTCATCTTGTTCCTGATCTTAGAGAAAAAGCTTTCAGTCTTTCACACTGAGTATCAATGTGCTTTATAATACTGAGCCGTAGACTTAAAAGTGGGTAAGATGGTAAATTTTAAGTTATGTGTATTTTACCACAATTTAAACAACTGGCTGAAAACACTTCCACTTCAGGCACAAGGTGGTGCCTGTGCTGAAAGCCCAGATAATTATGCCCCCTGGAGGTGCCCCCGTCTCAGGTCAGACAATCAACCCATGAAGAGAGTCAAGAGGCAGGCCCCCAAGCAAAGGACTTGAGAATACGCCAGGCTGACGATGCCAGATGGCCCCCTTCCTCTGCGGCCCACCGGGCAGCGCTGTCCCCACAGAAGGGCTGAGCACGAAGCCCAGAAACGCCCTCAAGGCCCTGAAGGCAGAAGGTCATCAGTGCCGATCAGGGGAGAGTGACAGCAGCAGAAAGACTGGCAATAAAATCTCCTGGGTGTGAGGCAGCTCGGCTTCCTCAGGCAGCAGGTGACAAAATCCGTCAGAAGGCAGCCCTCAAAGACTCAGGAAGGAGAATCGCTGCCACCCCCGCCTCACTGCGTACAGCTGAGGCAGTGCCCTCCCAAGCCACGAGAAACGAGAAGTACCTTCCCTGGGAGCCACCCCAGAGGAACGGGGTGTGGGGAGAGAACAAGCCAGAACCACTGCTCCCCTGACCACACGGCCACATTCCGCCCCTGAGGCCCACCTCTCTGGCTGCTCAGTGGGAGAAGGTGCTCGAGGCCCTGGGGCTCTTGTCTCACAGCAGGGCTTTGGGGACAAGGCCACGTCTCAAGGCTTGGGATCCAGACACAGGCTTGATGTCAGGCGGAGGTTGAACCTCGCTGAGAGACAGCGTCCAGCTTCCTGCCTGCCACACCTGAGGGCCACAGCCTGGCCTCAGAGCCATGTGTACAGCCTCAGCTGGGCGCTCTACGTGCTGCCAGCCCGGCCCAGGACAGGAAGGAGGACCAGGAGCGCGTGTACTCCGGGCGGGCCATCTCTGCACCTGCTTCAGACCCGGGTGGTGAGTTCTGGTGGCGACCTGTGGGGCTGAGGGCTCGAGGAGGGGCACTCACCCTGTCTGGCATTTTCCTCACCGAGTGGGGGAACTGGCAATGGCCACCCTCCCAACACGTTCCTAGAAAGTGGACTGCCCGGAGGAGGGGGTTCAGAGCAGGGCTGGAGCTGAGTGCTAATGGACATGGGTTTCTTTTTGGGTGATAAAATGTTCTCAAGTTAGTTGCACAACTCTGTGAGATCCTAACTGAACTGTACACTTTAAGTGGGCTAGTTTTATGTTATGTGAAATATATCTCAATAAAACTGTGAAAACAAATTCCTAACTCACAGCTAACAGAGACTTTGCTTTCATTACAAACAAAACCAACAACAGCGAGCCCCAGGGCCCTGGGGTCATGGCGGGGATGGCTTGTGTTTACCTAGCAGGTCGGCCCCTTCGTCCACATCCCCAATGACCTCGGACCCCGCAGTCGACAGCTCGTGGTACAGGGAGTCAGTGTTGATGCCGAAAGCCTTGTTCACGATCCCCTGGGTCGGGCTGTGAGGACATGTGGGGTGGGGGGTGGGGGGCAGAGTGACTAGGCAGCATCGAGGGACCAAGTATGGGGACCCTCTAACACCCCCCACGGGGCCACTCAATGCTAACACTGCTTGTGTCAGGGCCTCGGGCAGGTCTCCCACCACGAGAGGCTTTGGGGGTCACCTTCACCAAAGGTACAGACTCCTACCATGAACACCGGGCCCACCGGGCCCCGGGGCCCTGAGCCCAGCAAGTACCTGTTGCCCGTGCGGTCCAAGCGGGGCTCCCGACTCATGTCCAACTCTGGGGTGGAGTCGATAATATCTTGAACATCAGACCACTCGTCACTACTGCCCATGCCTGGGGGGGACACAGTGGAACACGGGGTCAGGAGGGTGCCCAGCAGTTCCCTGCACTACTCATGCTGCCCTCTGGCCCCATGTGTGGAGACCCCATGCTAGACCACTGCCAGGCAGGGACTGCCAGGAAAGGGTTCTTCCCATGCTGGTAGCCAGATGGGGCCTGTCCCCCAGAACTGTGCCTCCTTTTCATGACTGTGTCTGCTGGGTGACAGGGATCTACTCTTAGAGGCTGAGTTGTGTCCCCCAAATTCACGTGTTGGAGCCCCAGCACCCACGACCTCAGAATGTGTCCATATTTTGAGATGGGCTCTTTAAAGAGGTGATTAAGGTAAAATGAGGCCCCATGGGTGGGCCCTAACCCAGTGTGACTGTGTCCTTACAAAAAGAGGGGATTGGGACACAGACACACGCAGAGGGACGACCATGTGAGGACACAGGGAGGACGTGGCCATCTACACGCCGAGGACAGAGGCCTCAGGAGAAACCAGCCCTGCTGACACCCTGACCCTGGACTTCCGGCCTCCAGGACGGGGAGAAATTAACATCTGTGGTCCAGCCGCCTGCTCTGCGGAGTTTGTTACGGTGGCCCAAGCCGAGGAATACATCTACCAAAACTGAAATCCGTGGCAGGAAGAGCAATTGCCTACGGAAGGGAAGGCAGGAGAGCTGGCGGCGGCCAGAGCCCAGGGAGCGCAGCCGCGGTACCTATGCTGACATTCCGCATCTCCTGCGTGACCTGGACCTCCATGTTGCGGCTGTTGCGCTTCTCCCGAGCCCGCTTGCTGTTGTTCTTGGTGCCGGCGCTGTAGTCCCCCAGGGGCTGCATGCCTTCATTGAGGGGCGTGACCGCGGCCGAGGGCACAGAGGATGTGGGCGTGTTGGACTTGGTGCCTGTGGTGCTGGGCGTGGCAGCCGCCGAGGACTGGCCCGACTCGGACATCTCGTCGTTCGGACACTAGGGCCAAACATGGGGAAGAGAGGGCTCGTCATGCGGGTCGCCGCCCCCCACGGCTCCAGGTGAGCCCAGGCAGACCACGCAGGGTCAGCAGGGCCTCGGCCACTTTCATGAGGCCTCCCTGCCCGGTTTCTTTGCCACTTGGCCACAATGGAACAGCACTCCACGCCCGGACTGGAAGGGACAGGAGGACCCCTGCTCCCCGTCAGGCTGATTCCTCCTGGCCTAGTCACTTGTCTCATCCAGCTGCTGCTACTGGCTTTCCGGAGGCAGCTGCCACCTTATTTAAATGGTTTGTATCAGGGCTTTCAGCTTGCACACTCCTGGGACAGCCCAACGATGCCACGTGTGATGGACATGAAGCTACATGGACATGGCAGGCAACCCTTTGCAGCTGGCGGGTGGTGAGAAACAAGTTGCAGCCCAGGGTGGGGCAGAGGGCTCTAAACAGGGACCAGGGAGAGGGTCGACCAGGCCAAGCACGCCTTCTGATCAAGTTATCACTCTGCTGCACGGCCCTCGTGGGCTGGTGCCACCTGCTCCTGTCTCCTGCTTCCCGCCCTGGCCTCAGTCAGGGGCTGTGAAGGGGCACGCAGCTCCCTGATCTGCCTGCCGTGGCCTCCCAAAGAGAGAGATGCCAGGGGACGTGTAATGCTCAACCCCCACGGCTCAAATGGACCAAAGTTTGCCCAAAATATCCACAGAAATACAAACAAACTGAAATTCCACTTCCACAGAACGGGACATCCCCAAAATATTCTGGGAGTGAAAAAAGACCAGATTATTAAAAACTACAATCAACTGTTGACCACACGCACCTCCCTGGAGAGAAAGCACTCTATTGGAATAAGTATGGGACACGAAACATATACATTCTTTCCCTATAGTCTTTCCTAATGAAACTGTTGCACAATCTCAATAAAAAGCCCCCACCCTTCTATTAACTGACATGATAACCCCCAACTCACCCCTGAGTGGCTCTGGGCGGCAGCTCCCTCAGCCCCTGCTACCCTCTTTCATGGTGCTGAGAAGGTGCATGGCCTCAGGAGGGGGTTCGGGGTCCTGCGGGGGGGCACTGCTGAGAGCTGGCTCATGGTGCACATCCCATCGGCTGACGGCACTGGGTCATATGGTTTCCCCAGAGGGCACACTTGGGGAGAACTTTCTAACAGGGAAGGAGATGACGACAGAGGTGTCTGGCCCTCTCTGTAAAGCTGGTTGAACGCCGGGACTAACCTACACCCACTTCTAACTAGGAAGGGCTGACCGGGCTCCTGCGGCCGCCTCTACATGCCCAGGAGTCAGAGCTGGTTGGGAAATTTCTGCGATCTGCCTTTCCCTGACCTGTCTGGTCACTGCCAGGCCTGGGGCAGGACACTGCCTCTCCCTGGGACAGCAAATCACGACTTCATCTGACAGGCTCTGGAGACTCTTCTAGCAGGAATCGCACCATTCCACATCCTCCTCTAGGCGGGGTTCTCAACCCAGGGGGCTGTGTCCCTAGGGGACGCTTAGTGATGTCTGTAGACATTGGTGGTTGTCACACCTAGGGGTGGGTGGAGGCTGGGGGTGCCACTCAACATCCCATGGTGCACAGGACGGCCCCACAGCCAAGAATGATGGGCCCGGACAGTTGATGTGCGAGGGTGGGAAGCCCTGAGTGGGAGCCCGTGCACTGCCCCCAGGAGCACCTCTGTACAAATTTTCCTTCTGGGGTTGGGTTCTACAGCTTAGGGCCAGTCTGAGAAGGAAAAATCCTCTCCTCACGGCACCGCGCACTGACAGCCTTAGTACTGGGGCTCCCCAAGTGCTGTCCTCCCCACATGCCAGAGGCACCTCTGCTACCCCCCGGCCCCATGCAGCACTCGAGGAGAGATGGGTGCAGGAGACTACACGCACCGGAACTCGCTGAAGACCGGGGGAGGCCAGGAGTGTGAGTGCCTGCCTCACAGAACCACACTGGTTTTCCAGTCCACCTTCCTTAATGGCCATGTCTCGCAGCCTGTCCATGACTGGCAAACTTGTCTCTGTGGATTTTTGGTGGGCCTCCTTGACCTCAGTCACCACCATGGGAAATTCTACAGCAGGGCCAGGCCTCCCCCAAGCTAGCCTAGCTCTCGCTACCCTACAGGCCACCACTTACCCACGGACACTCCCCCTGGCCACCACTTACCTAAAGGCAAACCTCTCAACCTCCTAAACATCAACGTGTAGCAGTGACCTCCAAATGCAAAGAACCCAAACTCTTAGCGGTCATTCCTCACCACAGTAGCCACAACTGTTTGGTTAAAACACTGAAAATACAGTACACAAAAACAAAAAACAAAACAAAAAACAACAAAAAAATTAAGAAATTAGAAAAACCTTAAAACCTAGAACATGAAATAAAAAGAACTTAAATATAATTGTTTAGGAAAAAAAAAAAATAAAACAAATCTATGACCTAAAACATAAAACACTATGATTTATTAAGAGAAAGACTGTTTCAGAGAATGTAGTAGAATAAAGAAGAGACGTCCGAGAAGAAAAGCTGGCTCACAGGGGCATGAGGGGCAGTCCTCAAGGCCCCACAGCTTTCTGAGGCCCGTGTGGCTTCTTCAGGAGCTCCCGGGGTGAGCCCAGCTGCAGGCCTAGTTTGTGTATGAGTGACAGCGAGTGTGGGCAGGCGGCTTAAATGGCCAAGCCAGGCCACAGGGAGAGCTGGGACCCCGGGCCTCTGCCCTCTGCCCAGCCCCCACACACTGGCAGGACAGCCGATAACCAGCGGGTGAGCGCCCAGGTCAAATGTTGCAGAGATATGCTTACTCCCCGGAACAAAAGCAGAGCGACTGAGGTCGCTTCCCAACAGAGCTGACAGCTTGCAGCAACCTCCTGCAGGCAAGCTGGACACTTAGAGGCAGAAGGACAGTCGGCAAGGAGCTACAGTGGGAAGGAAACTTCCAGGGAAGTCTGGGCCCCATATCTACCAGCCCAGCCCAGCCCAGCCCAGTGGCGGAGCCACTTTGTCTCCTCCAGGCGTCCTCTGACGGCCTCTGCAGAAAATCCACCAGACCTGGGGTCGCCTCCTCCACCCGAGGGTGGCATCCTTACCAGCAATGGGGCCAGTGTCCTGTCCTGCCACTGCCTGCCTTCACCAGAGAGGCAGAGCTCACAGACCAAAACTGGCAGCAAGTGACCAGGGGCCTTGAACGAGGGAGGTGCCATGGAAAGTTCCTGCCCTTGGCTTTCTCGGGGCCCCCCATTCTGGGGTGCACTCCCTGGTTAGCTGTGGCACCCAGGATGTCTGCCCTCTCAAACTTAGAGACCTAGAAGTCGTGAGCCTGGACAGGTTAGAACAGCCTAGAGAAGAGAAGCTGACTCCTTGTCTCCTGTGACTTGCTCCCAGTTGACGTGCAAACCTCAGATACTCGCAGTACAACGCACCCTGGCTGGAGTCTGGTCCGGCTGTGAGGCTTGTACTTTGGGGTGTGTTGGAGGACGTCACTAAGCTCAGCCCTAACAGATGGGCACACCTTGGCGGCAGAGGGGTCTAGCCTGGACTAGAAGGTGCCAATGCAAGGCCACACAGGGAGCAGCCTTGGGCGCAGAGGGCCCGGTCTGCAGCTCACACCCTCCTGAGCTGGTCTGGTTTGTCCACTGCTGCCACACCTCGGAGAGAGGTCCGACTAATGCAAGGGAAGCTGCAAAGGGTTGTGTGCAAAGACGGGGCCTTCCTGAATGAACATGGGCGACGGGAAAGGAGACCCTCACTCCACAGCACGGTGACAAAACCTGGTAGCTGGAGCTGAACTGCAGCTGGCCGAGGTCACTCAGGTGCCAGTGGTCCCCCGCAGGCACGAGCTTGCCCCCCGTCTGTGCACGTACCGTGCCGTCGGCCAGGGGGAAGACGTTCAGAGAGGTGGGGCGCTCCTTCCTGCTGAAATGTGAGAGAGAGAAGGAGAGGAAGCCATCGTTAGACGGTGGCTCCCAAAACGAGAAGTGAAGACGCGTTCTGGACACGCAGAGTCGGGTTCCGCAGACAGAGCTGCTCTAAATGACGTCGCTTGCCTGGCTTGAGGAGTGAGAGGTCAGCTGCGGGGAGGGCGTGACCTTCCGGGCAGCCCCTCATTCACAGGGACCTCTTGTCCCCTCCATCTGCAGGCGCTCTTTAATCAGATGTGTTTGCACTCAGGGAATCTCTGCTGAACTGTGATCCCGTGTAACATTCCCCTTCCGTTACGCGTGATCATGTTTAGTTATTTTGATTTAAACAGACCCCTGCTATGTGTGCTAAGGGATCCCACAGCAGTGCCAGTGACGGCCCTCTGGCATCTGGCCAGCAGTGACCGGTTCCTCTGAGGGCGACTTTTACGACGATGGTCTTCCTTACATGGAGCCCAGACCTGCCCTCCCACCCCCCCACCCTGTAACCGTCGCCCTGCTTCTGCCCCCGTGGCCAGGCGGAGGAATTGATCCTCTTGCCCTGTTCTTTGTCCCTCGCCCCGCCCCTCTCCTTCACTATTTTTCATGAGACCTTCTCACTGTGAGATGTCTGAACAGACAGGCACAGAGTAAAGAGCCCCGCCCTGCTGCTGGGCTGCTGTGCCCCCTACAGCCCATGGGGGCACCTTTTTCTTGCTCCACGCAGTTCCTCCGGGTCGTCAGGGAGCACGGGAGCGTGGACAGGGTGTCTTGGAAAGCTGTGCTAGGAAACTGGGACTGTGGTAGCCTGGAGTTGTCAGAGCAGAGCTGAAAGCCGCCTGTGTGGGCTCAGTCCCCGAAAAGATGCCCCACGGGCCAGTAGGAACGGTGAGGGCAAGACCTTCCTCCGTCAGATGCTTCAAATGGGACACCAGGCTGCACGGATCCCAGGCCAGCTCCCCGCCCTGCCCCGGGGCAGACACACCGCACCTCAGAGACTGTCACCCACTGGAGCCCACGCTACTCGGAGCTGTTTAGGCCAAGAATTAGAGTCCTTCACACCACAGCCTCTCACGCTCAGAACTCGAACCCCAGAGACTGCGGTGGGAGAGGGTGGTGGGGGGCCACCTCAGGGGTCCCAAAGAGCCGGGTCCAGAGGCTAGACTGTTCTGGAGAGAGATGGTGGGCTTCCTCAGGGTGCTTGGAGGATGCAGGTGACGAAGAAGGAGAACAGCGTGGCCAGTGTTGACTAGAACTTACTATGGCCAGGGAGACAGCTTCATAAAGCACGACTCTACGAAGGGGGCCTCTCTAGCTGAGGCCCCCACACAGTTCTGGGGGCTGGCAGGGGCTGGAATGAAGCAGGAGGAAAACACAGAGTCTGTGAGTCAGAGTCCTGCCTCGTCCCCTCCATGGCCAGCTCATCTGTCCTGTTCAGAAGAGGATGCCTCCTGCACACCAGGGTCCCCTGGACCTGCTGGGACCTGGTTGTGCTGTCTTGGGAGCTAATCTGTGGCAGGGACCCAACCAGAGGAGCAGGGTGCTCCCAAGGGGCCGGGGCTACCGACACCTGTGGGGTTTGACCAAGGGGCGCACTCAGGGCCGAGGCCACTCAGGAAGGCAGTTCCTGTGGACAATCTCTAGTTTTTAGTTGCTGTATGTGGGACGCGGCCTCAGCACGGCCGGAGAAGTGGTGCGTCGGTGCGTGCCCGGGATCCGAACCCGGGCCACCAGCAGCGGAGCGCGCGCACCTAACCACTAAGCCACGGGGCCGGCCCCCTGTGGACAATCTCAAGTGCCTCACACAGCCCTGATCCCCGGTGACAGAGGACACTTCCTCAGACACGTCTCAGCCTGTCACTTAAGAGTTGAAGAAACTCAGATCCTAAGGAAGACATGGAGTTGGAAAGATCCATCAGAACCTCAGCGGGCCTGCAGCTCAGCCCTCACCGGGGCTGTTCTCTGACAATGGCCCACAAGGCTCCTAGGCGTCTAGGAAGGCACCTGCCACCACGCAGTCAGCGTATCCCTGGAAGAGGGACCAGGCCTCCAGAGCTGTGGCACGGACAGGCCTCGACTCCCATCTGCTCCCTTGGGGCTCCCAGTCACGTCCTTTGCCCACTCTTCCTCCATCGGGCTCCCAGTGCTGGTACAGGGAACCCCTCTCCTGGCACGTGGCTCTGACCTCGGGTGAAATGCACACAACGGGTCCCTCGGCCCCAGGCAAGTGCGATCTTGGCTGTTACCAGATACTAAAGGGTGACGGCAGGGGCAGAGTGTGGGGCCTCCTGCCTCAAAGGACAGGGAGGGGACACTTGTCCATCACCCGCTTCCACAGCTCTGTGCTCGGACACACCACGCCTGGTGACAGCCAGGCTGCTGCCCCGTGATGGAAATCTTGACCAGGAATTGAGTCTCATCGTCTCTTTGCTGGTCCCCGCAGAACCGTGAGTGGGCCTGCTCTCTGAGCCTCGTGAGCATTCACTGGGCATTGCTGCCTGATGGCCCAGAGCCCTGTCCGAAACTTGGCCATCACGTCCTCTTTTTACACCCCCCTAACTCGGAAGATGCCAATGCTTTTCCACTTCAGAGGCCGCAGCCTGAGGGGGTCACACTGCCCACAGAGGTCATGCCACCTGTGGGGGTCACAGTCATGCCGCTGGGTCTGGGCTCAGGGCTCTAAGTGACCGAGCCAGGCTACGAGTCCAGGTCTGTGTGACACCAGAGTGTGGTGTGCAGGGTCTCCACCCCACCTACTGCCTCCCATGGCAGTGCCAGCCCAGGGCTTTGGACATGAGGTCCAGTCTGTGGACAGGGTGGACGTTTGCTGAGTGGGGGCCCCTGTACCACTACCTACTTTGGGGCTCAGAGACCTGGGACCAGACTGCTACATCCTCAATGGCGTGGCTGTAAATGCCACGTCAAGAGCCACAACATCACTGCAAGTGGACTGAGGAACTGCCAGCCATCCTAAGTCTCCCAAAACCACAGGGACCCCGGAGTGCCCACACTGCCGCAGGCTTTACCTTTTCCTCCACGACTGGCGAGGACTGCAGGCCAGCAACAGACACAAGGGCCAGCACACAGCATTGACAGCACAGAGGGCAAGACAAAAAGACAGCATTAGAGAGTAAGGGTTGCATGTGTGCTCACAAGGGCAGTAAGTGTGTGACGACAGAGAACAGTCAGGCACCGACTCCACACTCCCCTCCACTGAAACAGACAGATGATGAAACTTGCAGACATCTACACACGACAGATGCATGACGCGCACACACATGACCCTCTTAGCTTGGACGAGAGGTTCCCAAAACAGGGCCTGGGCAGCAGGGCAGCAGGTCACACACACACACAGCACGGGGCAGTGGGCACGTGTCCTCTCCCAGAGAGCTCCCAGCACACGGGCACACAGGCATGCAGTGACAGAGCACATGGTCACACACATGCTCACGTTCATGGGCCCAAGCACACTAACCAGGTGTTTCACGCCCACACTGAGTCTATTCTAAAGACACAGATTCAGAAAACCAAGCCAGGAGTGAAGGAAAACGCCTGTCTCGGCTTAGCAGCAACGGCTTAGCAGCAACCAGCAGCTCCCCAGCACTAAGGATGAGGCCCTCATGGTGGGAGATGGAGAGTCTGAGCTAAGAAGCTGGGTAGACATACATATTTATCCCCAAAGGATGCAGAATTGTGGCAGGAATGGGTACACCCCAGAGAAGAGTGGGCCAGGATGGTGGGGCGGGGCCTTGCTCCTAACCTCCCCAGTGCAGCAGCAGCACAGGCCACAAAGGAATGTCTGACCCTCTGAGCCCTACAAAGGCCAACGCCCCGCAAGTAAGAAGGCTTATGTTTTCTCTGTGTCTACCAGTGTTCCCTCTAGAAACGTGAGGTGGCAGCTACCGTCCACGTCTGTTCACCAGGAAACGGTGCAGATAGAGCCAGATACGCATGGTGGGCCCTCGAAACATCAGCTTCGAGTGAGTCTGGGCCCCGGGGGAGCGGCTGCAGGGAAGACAGGAGCCCAGAGTTCCACACAACTGCTGCAGCTCCCATGGGACAACCTATTCCCTGGGCTGGTGACGAAGCTGGACGCCAACGGCCAGCCAGTGGGGCGATGGGGGCCGCCCAGACATGCAGCACTGCCCTCTGCTCCCTGTGACGTGCTTCCCAAAAAGCACTGCTCCAGGCATCACCCCACAGCAGCACCCTCCTCTTCATGGCCAAGGGACCACAGGAGGATGGTGGCTGACAGCCCCAGGCGCCTCCTTCCTGCAGGCAGGCATCTCTCTTAGGCGAGTGGAGACTGGCTTGAGAAGGTCTGCTAACAGAGAGCACTGAGGGCCTCAAGACAACAGCCGTGCACACCTCGGCCACAGGGATCCCTCTGGCAAGATCAGGTCGGGAAAACCAGGCTCAGCAGAAATCTAGACCAGAGCTCCTCCTTCGCCTGGACCCAGGGGGTCCGTTTTACAAATGAGGGGACTCTTGTGGGCTTTGGCTTGGTGTGGGGAAAGCCTCTGATGGGGCACCACCCTCCATGGGCACCACCCTCCGCCTCCACCCTCCACCACACTGGGCACTGAAGGCCCCGTCCCACCCAGAGGCGACAAATGGCTATGGCCAGGCAGCAGGATCTGGATTTGCTAGCACGGACAGAAGAGACTCACAGACCCATCCCTTAGAAACAGGTCACAGGGATTCTTATGACCAGCCTGTTTGGGTTCCCTGGGGAGGAGGAGAGCTCCAACACAGAGCCTTCAAGAGCTGCTGAGGGGCCTCAGAGGGACCCTGTGAACCAGACTCGTGTGTGTCCAGTAGTCTTGACCAGGAGAAGGGCAGGGCCTGCCATGGTCAGGGAAGCTACCGTCCCACGGGCCTGCCTGCCCTGGGGGCCAGAGCCGCATTCTGAGCACCAGGGAAGACTGGAGGGGCCAGTGCCATGCTCAGTCCGGACTCCGCTCAGGGCCACATCTCGACAGCAGGTTCCCAGACCAGGTCCTGCCGCTACCGCACATGGAGATGTCCACAAAAAGCACACCTCATCCTGCAATCATGGTGCCTCTTCCACACAGAGGAGGAATTGGAGGACCAGCTGGGCCCATGGTGGGTGGATCCAGGGCCTGGCCTGCAGCCTGGGCAGCTTCTATTTTTGGCTGAGCCCATACCGTCCTGAGGTTCTGAGGACGCCTATTTCTGTAGTGTTCCTGGGGCCCAGAGTGGTGACCACTGTGACTTAGGACCCTGGATGCTCACAGCCTCCAAGTCCTGAGTCCAGAGGTCACCTCCCTGGACAGGAAAACTGCGGCCCTCTCCCTGGGCTCTGTCCTGTGTGACCTTCCAGGTGCTCCTGCCTTGAAGGGAGGAGGCGGGGAGAGAGCCCGAAGGCTCCAGAGTGCCGCAGCTCTCAGGGACTGGCCAAGTGCCCAGATCTCACCAGAGATGCCCAAACCGCCCAGCCACTGCACCGGCAGCTCAGACGGCCCCACCCAACTTCCTCCAAAAATCAACATGAGGCCCCCCGATTCCAGGTTAGCATTCAGACGCAGTTACTTAGAAATTCCCTCGGCAGCTTTTGAGAGCCAGGAGTGAGGAGTTCACAGTGTGCTTGGGAGAAGATCTCCTAACCTGTGAACCGGCAGCCTGGAGGTCAGTATTTCCCACCTTTGGATATACCTGACCCAGAAACAATATGTGCAAAACGTTTTATAGTTTAACAAACTCTTTGATACATACTCTCTCACCTAATTCTCACAGACTGCAGGGGTCAGCTGGGGAATAGCCTGTGACTCCTTCTCCTGGGGCACAAACTTCCCAGTAAGGGAGACCCACATGGGTGTAGACCCTACTCCTGCTCAAAGCAGTGACACTGTCTAGAAATGTGCTGGTCGTCCCCTCGATGACCACTCTTCCCAGGTCCTGCTAGGCCTTCGCATACATACTAAGCATTTCTGTTTTCCAATCAGAAGACGCAAGTACAGGACTACAACAGCTTTGCCTGAGGCGGCCCAGAGAGCACCTGACGATGCCCGCAGTGGAAGGGGCTGAATCTTCTCCTTTGCAGACAGAACCCACCGAAGAGGCACAAACAACACTTTTGCAGCCAACAAGGCCTTTATGTGACATGACTAGGGGCTGTAGGCATTCGCCTGCAGGAACACATCTGCCAGCATCACCCTGCCCTGCAGTAGGAATGTGGCTCCATCCAGCAGCCACCAAGATGTCCTGGGCCCTTTCTGCACCCACATACAGTTGATTCCCGTGATTCATGGTAGTAATGTTCTACAAAGTCACCGAGAACACTGGATTAGTGAATCCTGAACTGCTGCTCCCAGGGGAAATAGGTACATATATGTATGTATGTGTATATATATATATATGGAGAGAGAGAGAGAGAGAGATACATATCTCGCACAGATTGGAATCTTAATTCCTAACTCATCCTGGGAGATTCTATTTGCTGTATTTTACGAAAGAGAAAATGAGGTGCAGAAGTATTTGTTGACCTGCCTGAGGCTGCCCCACAAACAAGGGCCAGGGCTTGGCCTCAAATCCCCCTGAAGAGCCCCAGAATCCGAGCATCTTGCACAACACTGTGCCACTCCTCCCATCTCCATCCTCTGGGCATATCTGCACGAGGCTGAGACGAGCGAGCAGAGCATCACCTTGTTTGACCTCAGCTGGCCTCGTGCACTTTGGGTGACTCACAGTTGTCACCCCTCTGTGCGCATCTGCAAATGCCCGCAGAAGCACTGTGAGTGCCAATTTTGAGGCTACAGATCAATTGTAGTGAGTAGGCAAATTCACCAACACGGAATCTGCGAATAATTAGGCCCGATTGTGCACAACTTTCCCTGCACATGGGCCAGCAGAAGGCCCACCCACGTCCCCCGCCAGCCTGCTCTGGCACCTGGGGAAATCTCAGCACACGGTCCTGCTCACATCACACACTCTGACCAACGCCCCTCTTCCCGAGTCCGGAGGAGGATGCAGCTCTCCAGAGAGCTCTCCTGTCTCCCGGACCCAGAGCACCTGGGAGGAGGGACCACTAGACTCTGCAGGCTCTGACTCCCTGCCTACCTCCTCCCTGGCAGGCTGCTCTCGGTCTGGCTGTTTCCACCAACTTGCTGCATCTTGGACCTCTCAATGTGCTCCACGTAGGTCTGTATCATCTGCGGAGAAGGAAACCTCTGCGTGAGTAATTTCTGCTAATGGAGGCCTCTCCCTTCCCCTCTCTAACCTGCAGCATTTCCAGACCCACTGCGCTGACAGAAATAAAGATACAGCTCGGTGGGGTGGAGTCGGGGCAGCACAGGGCCGACAGCTTTCAGGCTGGGCAGTAGATCACCAGAAAAAGAAGAGGCCGAAAGGCCACCCCAGGTCGGCAGCCAACCACACGAGTCAGGCTGCAGCCAGTTTCTCGTGGGCTCAGCTCTGCATGCGGCCTCTGTGCTGGAGGCTGACACTGGTCAGGGCCGGGCACCTACCTCTGTGTGTCGCTGGTGCAGAGCGTTGTACTCCTTCTTCATCTCCGACTCCCGTTCCTCCAACCGGGAGACTAGAAAAACACAACCGCTATTTGTCAACCACACAACCTGCTTTTCCGTGGCGCCTCGTTTCTCTGCTGGTCCCACCCGCCCACCAAGAAGAGGGTTCCAGGACAAACTGATGCCTGTGAGACCTGCAGCAACACCTCAAGCTCAGAGACGTTACCATCAGGAGAGAACCCCCTAGGGACACTAGCACGCAGATTCTGACTCGTCTGGGGTGGTGCACTGTGTGTGCTGCATTATTTGAGGACATTCAATTCTGCTACAAAGAGAAACAGGATGGGTGAAACCCACAAAAGCGTTACTACCCATGCTTAAGTCAGCTAGCAGCTTCTGAGATGCAGGCAAAACTCACAGGATGTGTCAAGTGTAGGCACGGAGTGAGCAAGTGGCTTGTGGAAAGAGACAGAAATCATAAGCAAGTCACCTCTATGATGTATTAAAAATTGAACAAACATCTGAAACATGTGACAGAACACACGTGTCCCTCCCATGTACCAAGGGCTGGAAAGACCAAGTCATGAGCATGCCCACCTCCGGCTGGCAGGGGTGTCATTCCTAAATTGGCAGCCCCTGGTGATACCCAGGCTAGCACCCCCGGCCCCATAAGTGCACTGTCCAAGAAATGCAGGTAAGCCGCACAACCACTCAGCGGGTAACTGGAGAGCTACGGCAGCATCTGGTAACCCGGCCCTGCGTCCTGCCAACAGATCCAGCGTGCCACCAGCCTCAGACACCTGCTGCCTGTGGCCCTTTGTCCAAACATCAACTCTGTCCTTGTAGACCCCCACGTGGGGAAGGCCGCTGTGTAGAGTGAGAGACAAGACACGTGAGAGTTGAGGAACCAGGGACTAACACAGTGTGGCCTTAAACCACTTGCCCCTGTCCTCAACATGGTGCCTGTTTTAAATGGGTTTAACAAACGACACTATTCAACGTCTTATTTCAGTCCATATGCTCTCCCGTTCCATGACTGCAGTGTAGCTTGCCTGGCAGTGTCCTTGGAGGCAACACCGTGTTAAGGCCGTTCCCCACCTGACAGGTGAAGCCTGAGAGTCTGCATTTCTAACGCTCCTGGGTGACCTGATGCTGCTAGTCTGGGCACCACACTTCGAGCAGCAGCGAGGTGTTTGCACAAAGCAGAGGAAAGGCTCAGTCTCCCCTTCAGGAGCTTGACGTGCTCCTAGACACCGGCACACAACACACAAAATTAGCTGCCAGCGGGGCCGGGCCCATGGCGTAGCGGTTAAGTGCTCGCGCTGGGCTGCTGGCAGCCTGGGTTTGGATCCCGGGCGCGCACCGACACACCACTTGTCAGGCCATGCTGTGGCGGCGTCCCACATGAACTGGAGGAAGATGGGCACAGATGTTAGCTCAGGGCCAGTCTTCCTCGGCAAAAAGAGGAGGACTGGCATGGATGTTAGCTCAGGGCTGATCTTCCTCACAAAATAAATAAATAAATAAATAAATAATAAACTATTAAAAAAAAAAATTAGCTGCCAGAGGAAGACTCTACACCAGGTACGTCTGACCTCTGGCCTCTGCTCTGGCCTTGGGAGCATCAGTCCCTGGAGAGGCCTGCAGGGTCGCAGCCACAGGACCTCTCCTGACCTCCCTGCTGGGGCAGGTGCAGGCCACTGCCCGGCTGGAAGAACCAGAGGCTCATTCCCCTCTCTCCTTGGGCCCTGCTCCTGGTGCCGACAAACGAACAACGTCAGCCTGGAATTTGGAGTCTCCACTATTTCCCTTCCGAGAAGAGCTGAACAGGTTCCATAATGAAAAGTATTCTAAGCAAGGGGAGTATTACAGACTCTGTGTAATTACAGAAAGGGTTTGTCTCTGGGCCTCAAACGGGCCTCTGGTTTGCTTCTGTTCTGCAAACACTAGAAGGTTTATACATGTATGTGCATATGTGAGCCCCTACCCACTGGTGGCCTGCGACTCGCCAACACTCTCGTGCGTTACTGGCCTTAGCAAAATGGCCTTGAAGGCTTAGGATAGGGCTGGGCCCAACAAATCAAACCACTGTTTTCTGGATTTGATCTTAACTCTAAGCTAACTAGGTAAAGCAGCAAACTTCTTCTCAATAGTTAACACCACTGATTACAGAAAACTGAAATTACACAGGTCATTATAACTTCGACAGTTTAGTTTAAGCAAAACTTCTGAAAACTAAATAATAGTTCTTACAATAATAATAATCAAAACCTCTTTGCTTTGCCTCTCCTGCAAGGAACAGGATGTTCCTGTAGGCACCCTGGGTCAGCCATGCGCCCCTCCTAGGACCTGTCACCACGTGGGGCTCCATCAGCAGGCTCAACCTCCAGGTCACGGAGGAGCAATCTCTGCGCAGCCATGTACAGACGAGAGCCCACATGGCAACGGGGAGCTCTGTTCTGAAGGACCACGTAAGGATCAAGGATCTGTGAATGTGGGGTCAGACTGCAGTATGAAGCAGAAGTGCTATGTCATCCAAGGGGCCTTATTTATTTATCTTATTTACGTCCACGGGGGAGTTGAGGCCTATTACAGAAACACACAGCAGTGTAAAGAAAGAAACCAAACGGCTGAAGGCGTCACAGTGAACGTGAAATAAGGCTCTCATTGGGTTTTCTCAGTCCTTTTATCAGAGGCTCTCAACATCCCTCCCGGCCGGGATCAGTCTGAGAATGACAGACGCATTCAAAGGCACTTTCATTGTCCTGCTAGCTACTCACGCTGATCTGCATAGTTTTTGGCCTTCAGTTCCAGCTGGCGCGTCTGAAACTCATAGTGTTCCACCTGGATTTGTAGCTCTTTCTTCTCTTGTTCCAAGGCATCTTCGAACTCAATGAATTTCTATACAGGAAGGAAGGAAAAGAGCAGGCGTCATGAATGTGGGATGGCCAGATGACAGCAGCGCCGCACAGAAGGGCCATGGGCTTCAAGGACGGAGAGGTGAAAGACTCTCCAAGACCTTGGGCTTGGGACCAGGCTGCAGTCTCCCCATCCAGAGCTGGCTTCTCTTCACATCACACCGCCTGCCACCCTCTTCAGGTAAACCTGACACAGAGTACCATGAGAGGTGGGCAGGAGGAGATCCCCAAGAGGGGGAACTCCATGACCTTCTGATCAGCTGTCTGGGAAGTCAGCAGGGCCCTGAATTTAGAAGGGCCCCATGCTTGGTTTAACATTCTGCTGTTCCCATCTTGAAATTCTTAATAGTTTTTGAACAAGGGGCCCCGCATTTCCCTTTCTGCACTAGGCCCCACCAATTACGTAGCTGGTCCTTTTGCAATAGAGTAGTATTACTCCTTCAATACTAAACATCTAAAAGAGGTCAAGTCCACTTTTCTCTTAACCTGTATTTCAATCACCAGTCAGTTCAGGATGCCACCATTACTGGAATAACTAGCAATGAAAAGTATTGCTCCTCTTCTTGAAAAAAGGCTGCGGGGGTGGGTGATGGTCTAGAGCTTGAATCTTCACCTTAGTATGAAGTTTCTGAATAAAAGTGTTATCAAATCAAGTGAAAAGAAAGCACTTTGCAAAATAAAAGAAACTCTTGAGGGCCGGCCCCGTGGCTTAGCGGTTAAGTGTGCGCGCTCCGCTGCTGGCGGCCCGGGTTCGGATCCTGGGCGCGCACCGACGCGCCGCTTCTCCGGCCATGCTGAGGTGGCGTCCCACATACAGCAACTAGAAGGATGTGCAACTGTGACATACAACTATCTACTGGGGCTTTGGGGGGGGGAAAAAAAAGGAGGAGGATTGGCAATAGATGTTAGCGCAGAGCCGGTCTTCCTCAGCAAAAAGAGGAGGATTAGCGTGGATGTTAGCCCAGGGCTGATCCTCCTCACCAAAAACAAAAAGCAACTCTTGAAAAGTCTTAGGGGGAGATCACTGTAAGCCACAGAGTGAAGCCAGGCCTCTGGTGGAGGGGGAGGAGTGGGCACTGGCTGCCGTGCACCGCCCCCGGTGTCCAGGTTGGCAGGGCCCCAGGTTAGGCAGCAGCACAGCTACCACCAGCTGTAATTCCTACAACAGCCCTGAGGGGGAGCTGTTAACACCTCAATTTTAGGTGTTCCTGAGTAGGAAGCTGGAATATTATTAAGAAATTTCATTTGTAGGAAACATAAATATCAGCTGGATTGTTAAGACATAAAGTTTCTCAGGAGATGGGAATATCAAACTGATGGTTGATTTCAGGTTTTGGGTGTCTGGAAGAGTCGATGAATTTGTGGTAGCCATGGCTGTATTTCCCATAACAACTGCACCCATCCCCACCCCAACACCAAGCCCAGAGATGCTTCTTCCTACAACAGCTTCTCAAAGGTCTTTGTGCTGCAAATCTCTGGGCTCCTGCCCTAAGGATGACTCATTCTGTGCACTGACTGGGAGGGCAGAAAACGGGGGTGGGGGGGTGATCAAAAGGACTGGGAGGGCAGGCAGGGAAGAGCGGCATCAGAAAAAAGTCTTTTATTAATGACATCACACACAACTTAAGTAAAATGAAGAAAAAATAAAAGCCAGGAAAATGCACACAAGTGGTGCAGCTGTACAAAAAATAAAAATAAGTGGTTTTGAATGACTGTGGATGTAACTAGCATATGAAGAATAAACATGCTATTAATTGACTGATAAGGATATTTTAAAAATTGGATACTTTTAATTTGTTACTCAAAAAAAATTAAAAGAATTACTTAAACAACATGATTGGTAGACAAATCAGATGAGAGTGTTAAGTAAAAAGAAGAATATTTTTTAAAAAATCATAATCTTACCATCCAGAGAGAGTCGGTTAAAACTGTGTGATCTCTTTTCAGATTTGTGCATGAGCGTGCATGTAAGCGAGTGTGTAGGGCAGACGTGGGATCTCTTGTGCACAGTATCTTGTGACCTGGCTTATTCACTCATTTACATTGGAACATCTTTCTACATCAGGATGGTATTCTCCCACATCCATTTCTTTTCTTTTTTTTTTTTTTTGTGAGGAAGATCAGCCCTGAGCTAACATCCATGCCAATCCTCCTCTTTTAGCTGAGGAAAACTGCCCCTGGGCTAACATCTGTCCCCATCCTCCACTTTATATGGGACACTGCCATAGCATGGCCTGACAAGCCGTGCAACAGCACACGCTGGGGATCCGAACCCAGGTCACCAGCAGCGAGCGCACACACTTAACCACTACGCCACAGGGCTGGCCCCACTCCCACATCCATTTCTAGTAGGTGTGTGCTCCGTGGTGAGCACGTGCGTGCAGAGCATAGCGTGATCACTCGATCTCCTACTACTGGACTTCTGGGTTGCTTTACATGTTGGTTACATCATTGCTACTTGTGTATCTGCCCGAAGGCTTCCTGCTATCTAAGGCTGTGGTCCACAGTGCTGAGGCCTGACTGTTCAGATGTGTATCCCAGCTCACACTCCTCCAACAAGGTGGGGAGGTCCCCTTTCCCAGAGCTCCCACTGTCTCTGCATACAGCTTAACCATAGCGCTGCCAGTCTGCCGGGGGAAAAGGGCATAGCACAATTGCCTTTTGCCTTAATTTTCAGTTCCTTGATTACTAGTGATATTGAACATTTTTTCATAAATTTATTGAACATATATACCACTTCTTTCATTATGTTCTTTGTCCAACTTTGTACTCTCCTGTTCCTATTTTTATTAATGCTTTCTAAAGAATTTTGTTACACCTATTTGAGAATTTGTCTGTCTTATGTGCTGTAAGTACTTTCCCAGGATGTAGTCTGTGTGTGTGTAGTACAGAAGTTTACTTACTTCTGTACTATTTACTTAATAATTTATCCTTTCCTCATTGCTTTGAAATGCCACCTTTATCATACGCTAAATTCTAGTAGATATTTCAGTCTATTTCTGAGCCAGTACCAAAGGTTTTTTTAAACTTGTAGTGTTATAGTATCTTTTAACAGCTGGTATATATTCACCCTCTTACATCTTCCTTTCAACATCTTTGTTTTTCCACTTGTTTATCCTTCTAGATTAACTTGAGAATCATCCTGGAATCACTTATATACTTATTCTTTGTTTTTGTTTTTTTTTTTTAATTTTTATTTATTTATTTATTTTTTTCCCCAAAGCCCCAGTAGATAGTTGTATGTCATAGTCTCACATCCTTCTAGTTGCTGCATGTGGGACGCGGCCTCAGCATGGCCGGAGAAGTGGTACGTCGGTGCGCGCCCGGGATCCGAACCCTGGGCCACCAGCAGCGGAGCGCGCACACTCAACCGCTAAGCCACCAGGCCGGCCCTCTACTTATTCTTTGAATAAGCATCTCGCCTTCCGAAAGCACCAGTTCCCTGGTCCTCAGGCAGGAGTCCCTGTTTTTGATGAGAAAATGCTCAGCACTGGACTTGGGATGAAGTGAAAACTCATCATAAGCCAGGGAGGAGCCGTTTGATGGGGCAGCTGGGGCTGGAAGACAGAAAATCCTCCCTTTCTTTAAACCAATCACTGTCCTACCTCTGAGCTGTACCACTGAGGTTTTACACAAAGAAAAGGTTTTTGGCGCCAGTGTCATTTCACTAGAATTTTCCCCATCTGTATTTCATCATGTTATCTGCATTTGATATTTGGGAGTCAACTAAAAAGATTTCCAAACTGAAGACAATGTGAGAAAACCCACCCCCAGATTCTTAAAAACGTTAAGGCAGACTTTCCTAAATCTATCCTGATAGGTGTGCATTAAAATCCAACATGGGTGATGGTGCCATAAAACAACCCATGTGCCTACAGACTCCTGACGAAGTGGGCCCCAAACCAGGTCACATGCAGAAACCCTCTGACGTTATGAGACTTTAAGGCCTCTGACCATCAGGAAATACGGAGACATTAACCGAGAGAGCAAATACCTAAGGAGGCTGTGAGCACAGACGTCCTCAAGGCCAGACACAAGGGCACACTAGGTGGCAGGGAGACGGATCCCACACACAGGACATTTGTGGTCCCCAGGCCACGTGGAATCCTAGTGCCAAAGGGATGGTCCCACGGGTGGGACACTAGTAACTGACAGCCCTCCATCCTCTAAGCACCCCCACTGACAAGGAGTGGGAGCAACTCCCCAGATGAACAAAAAGCCCCAAGAAAGCCACCAGCGCCCACCAGCAGACTCAAGAGGGCCTTGGCCTCAGCCAGCCCTCACCCTCCCGCTCGGCCCCCCAAGGGCACCTGAGTGAGGGGGACCACTACCGCCCAGCACGCAGTCGGCTCCCACAGCATGTGCGGCAGGAGCCGCTCCTGTCCCGTCTCCCAGAGGCAGCATCTTACCAGCGGGAGCTGACTTGGAGGGACCCTCAGGGGCTCCAAGTTTATGCAAAAAAACACAGTGTTCTACAGCTTAAAAGAAATTCTCCTCTTTCTTCTCTTGAAAAAAATCATGTCAATGTCACTAAGGTAATTTTAGTTAACAAAAATGCAAGCTACCCATTTAAGTGAAATGGAATATCAGTGCAATCTTCATCAAATATTATAAAGAATAAAGACCGTGGAGGAACAGTGCCTGGCCAATACTAAACAAATATTTACTCTTTGCTTTCTACAAGGAAATGCTCAGGGCTAGACTCGGGATGAAGCAAAAATCATCTTGACAAGAGAAGAGTAGCTGATGGGGCTGGGAATAAAGCAGGGGCTTCATGGTTGGTGGTTAAATGAATAAATCAGGAGAACTCTCCTCTGACACAAGGGAAGGTAACCGGGAGGTGGAGAGAAGGGTCAGCAGGGAACTCTATTAACTGGGTTAGTTAACATCACAAAAAATTCAACAGATGTTTTCAAAGAAGAGAATATTTTTATTTACAGATCATTTATTTTAGATTTAAGAGAATTAAGAATCTTCAGTGGT